TGACATATAAAAAGTGGGTAAAGCAGAAAGTACCGAGTTGAGCAGAGTGAGGCGGCCACCAAAGGATAGCGAAGCAGCTTTCCAGACAGCAAGTTTGGCTCGAAATTTATTTACTAGCGGCTCCCATAACTTCTTATTTCCAGGATTTCCATCGACAGGCATTCCCAAATAACTGAACTGTGATTTCCCAACACCACACCGCATCATGCTGGCTGATCCTTCAACCCATCTCACTGGCACATTATAACCATAAATGTTACTCTTATTAAAGTTAATTTGCAGACCTGACATCAATTCGAACCAACGCAGAATTGTTTTGACCATAAAAATATTCTCTGTGTCAGCCTTTCCCATGATGATTGTGTCATCAGCAAATTGAAGTAAGGAAATAACTAATCCCCTTCTGCCAACCTCTATGCCTCTCAACAAACCCTCCGTCGCTGCTTTTTGAATCAAACCATTTAATCCCTCTCCAATCATCAAGAATAAAAAAGGAGATAGCGGGTCACCTTGTCGAAGTCCTTTTCCCGCTTTGAACTCCTCTGTTGGGCTGCCATTAATTAGTACCGACATTCTAGTAGTCGACAAGCACTCCATGATCCAACCTCTCCACTTGATTCCAAAACCCAATCTGTCCATCATCCATTCCAAGAATGTCCAATCCACACAATCATATGCCTTTGCAAAATCAGCTTTAAAAATAAATGCCGGCTGTTTCCTTCTCTTAACTTCCTCCACCACTTCGTTCAACACCAGCACTCCATCAACTAACTGACGTCCTCCCAAGAAAGCTGATTGAGTTTCACTGATAATCCCCGGCAATACAGCTTTAAGTCTATTAGCCAACACCTTTGATAATAGCTTATACACACACCCGATCAGACTAATGGGTCTATAATCCTTTAAATTCCCAGCATTAATCTTTTTAGGAATTAAAGTTATAAATGATGAGTTCAACCCACTAACCAATCTTCCATTGCGATGAAACTCTTCAAAAAAGCTCATAAATTCCTCCTTTAAACTATTCCATGCGAATTTAAGGAAAGAAAAATTATACCCGTCGGGGCCCGGAGCTTTAGAACCTTCACAACTTCTCAAACCTTCTTCAATTTCCTCAATGGTGAATGGTCGTTCAAGCCACTGTTTGTCCTCTATAGAAATCTGCTTGAAGTTCACCCCATATGGCTTTGGTCTATTCCACTTATCTCCTTGGAAAAGCTTGCTAAAATAATTAACCACCTCCTTCTTAACTTGTGTTGGTTCTTCCACCCAAACACCATCACACCATAAACCTGTTATATGATTTTGGGCCTTTCTACCTTTTGCTATTCTATGAAAGAATCGCGTGTTTGCATCACCCTGGCGTACCCAATTACTTCTTGATTTCTGTTTCCATATCACTTCTCTCTTCCTCAAAATGTCCCATATATTCTGAAATCCTTCTTGTCTTTGAAGAATCTCAAACTCCTCCAGATCAAAATCTTCATTTTTCAAATCAACGTGCTCAACCTTTTTAATCGCCTTTTCATATTGAGCTTCCATATCCCCAAATACATCTCGGTTCCAACCCTTCAAAAATTCTTTCAACTTCTTTAATTTCTGTTTACACTTATACCCTGCAAATCCATCGACCTTCATTTCTCTCCACTTCTCTTCGATAACCTTCTTAAAATTCGGATGAAGTTGCCAAGCATCCAGAACTCGAAATGGTCTTGGTCCCCAATCCACTGTTCTTGTTTTCAACACGATTGCACAATGATCAGAGATATTTCGTTTCAAGCCCTGTTGCACCCACTCTGCACCCATACTGCACATCTCTGCATTCATCAAAATTCTATCCAGTCTGCTCATGGCTGAGCCATCTGTTCTGTACCAAGTGAAACGCCTATTAGCCATTTTAATGTCTATTAATCCTGCTGACTGAATAAATGCCTCGAAATCCTTCATATCTGGACTCTCCCCTGTTCTTCCTCTTCTTTCCTCAAGACATCTAACAGCATTGAAGTCTCCCGCAATCAGCCATCGACCTCCCTCTTCTGTAATCATGCTCCTTAGCTCATCCCATAACTTTAACTTTTTTTGTCTGTTATTTGGGCCATATATATTCACCAGATTAAACTTCACCTTATGAATTCCCCACTCCCCTGTTATTCTCAAATACCCATCACCCGTGGAATCTCCTGTCTTAGTAAAATTGACCTTATTCCAAAAAGACAGCAAGCCTCCTGAAGCTCCTGTTGATTCCTTCATCACCCAATCAAATTCTCCCGAATCCCATATCATTTTACACAAGTTTTCATCCACCTTTTCTAACTTAGATTCTTGTAAGAATAGAAAATCCGGTTGTTCCATTCTCACCAATTTTCCTACTTCCTTCCTCTTCAACACACTACCCAAACCCCTAACATTAAAGGATATTAACTTCATTAACTAAAAAAACCACCCACAACCACTCTGCTAGCTATCCTACCCTCTAATCCCGAAACCCTTTTCGTTCCCCTGCTTCTACCCTCTCTTCCAATTCTAATAACCGGGACTGCACTTCCCCTTCATTATCTTGGATTTGAATGCCCAATCTCTTTCCTACACTCATCATCCTCCTCACCTCATGCAAGGTCAATTCTCTCCGAATTATGCTGTTTCTATTTGCTATACATCCATCAGAAATAGAACAACAATCAGTCAAAATTACCTTGCTAGCTGCACCCAGTGTAAAATCTGCTCTCCCTCTCTGTTTTTGCTTTGTTCCCGATTCAGCCCCCTGCATCTTTGTTGATCGCAGCTCCACAACATTTTCTGGGTAGCAGTCCGCTAAATGCCTCCGTCGTTTGCCCCCTACTTCCTTATATTCCAGATCTCGGTTCATAGAAGAACCCTCCTCAACCGCTACATTGGGGCCTTTCTTTCCTATTTTTGTCAAGCCTCCTTGTCTATCAACCCTTCTCATGTCACTACTATTTCCCAGCCCAAATTCTTTTTCTCCCTCCGGCCCACTGCTCTTGGGTGACCCACACTCCTTGGCCGGCCCACTAACTGCATCTTTTCTGACATCTTTTTTTTCCTCTGTGTCTATACTTTCCATTTCTTCCTCTGTAATTTTGAATTTTGAATTTGCATTGCAGAAGCTTTCCTTCATTAATTGCTCCTCATTAATGCTACCGTCTTCTTCGTCACATCCTTCGAGGTTGATCCAGTCCTGATCTTCCTCATTACTCTGCTCCGATGAAAAGTCCGATTTCGATACTGATACACTCCGCCGGTCACCGTCCGACAGCCACCAGTCTGGGTCGGAGCGCCATTCTTCCTCAATCACCTGTATCTTATACCATTTTTCTTCTACTTTCAGTGTAATCCGTTTAGATATCTTATGCTCTGTATGACAAATGACTAAAATTCTCCCATCACATAAAATTGATCTTGTTGATGTATCTTCATGGATCTTCACCACCTCTCCCACTGATTCTCCAATCATCTTAAAGCATCTGTCACTCCAGGCCTTCAAGGGGATACCAGTAATACGTAACCATGCCATTCTGCTTTGATCCTGAATTTGCTTCTCCCATGAATGAATGTCTTCAAACCACAAAGCAATAAGTTCCTTGTTGTGGTTCATAAATTCAAGAATATACCCCGGTTCATGTTCAGTTAGTAACATCCTCCTTCCCCCTAATGGTGAGATCTTGATTAAGCCTCCATCCACATCAATTTTCTGTTGCACTTCTTTTACTATTGATAGTGATTTCACAACCGCCACAACACCCCCTTTAAGCCACTGGTTCTCTTCCGGCTCTGGTATGAATTTCATGATTTCCTCGTGAGGATTCACCCTTCTATTCTCCACCATACAATTTTTGCCATCTAGTATATCACAGGATGCCACTTCCTCCTTCCTGTTCCTTTGCCTCGCTTGAGTTGGTTCCTTTTCCAATTGGTTGATGCCCCTGTCTTCCCCTTCTAGCGATCCTATATCGTTCGGCAAGCGTTGTAAACTCTGTGTCTTCCCCTTTACCACCTGGGCATATGATTTTCCTGGCTGTACCAATCTATCATCCCTATGCTGTTTTCTGTCTCCCATAACTTCAGCTTTTGCTCTTACGTTACTTCTTTCCTCTGCTATCTTCACTCGCAACTTGTATGAACCCAACCATATATCATTCAGTCTTCTCGCCATCTGATTCTCGTTCTGCACACCTACCATACGCAGAAATCCAAATCTCTTCCCCCACTTGTCGCGCTTCTTTGGTACATATACATCTACCACTTTTCCACATCTCTGAAATCGGTACCATAACTCTTTCTCCTCACAATTTTCTGGAAAATTGTAAAAGAAAAAAGTCTTTGACTGTCTTACAAGCCTGTGATCTAATCCCGGAATCCATCGCCTGTTCCCCTGCCGCTGTCTGGTGCCGCTGACTTCCCTTGTCGCCGCTCCTCTCGCTCTGACCCTCATACTTTCACGCTCACGCAAATTTCTTACTTTCTAATCTTAAATTTTGATTGCAGTAAACAATCATAGAAAGTATACAAATGATTTATTCCTGCGTTCGTTCTATAATTTGGATTAAATTCTTTTTTAGTTCCTATGTATATGTTGACTTAGAGTCAA